GCACTAATTTCCTTAGACTGAATTACCATATAATAGCATTAAAAACCAAGATTTATAATTTTTTAATAGTCCTTCCAAATTAAATTGCTAAAGTAGCTGTTTTCTGGAGGGAGGTGCTTACTATGAAAATATTCTTAATTTAAACATTGAAAATATTTTTATGATCTTAATCTCCCTCGATTCCATATTTGCTGTAGAAATGTTTAAGATACAGATTTCAACTGTTTTGGTTGATTTTGGCATATCCCCTTCTTCCACGTGAGTTGCTGCTTTTGTTAATGTGATCTTCTGCTCACGACTGAATTTAGCTGCTTGTGTCTTTTTGAAAATCTGCTCATGAGATAGAGATTGTGCTTCATGAATCTTAAGATAACATAGCTGGGACATACAAGGTCTCCTGCCCATACGAAGGGAAGAGGGACAGGCTGAGGAGTAATAGTGAGGAAATACTAACCAATAACAAAACTCGCAGAAAACCCCTCATTCATATGAAATATTGGGAAAACTAGACTGAATTGATAAAATGGCTAATTTATAGGCTATTTTCAAAGCAGTAAGATATCATTTAGTCTCAAGCCTAAAATGTAACAGGCTAAGATACAGATGGGTTCTAGAAAGCAAAAGTACGTAAACCAGTGAAATTTGCAATTCACAAGACTCCTAAATTATATAATTAGGTGTTGTGAGCACAAAGGTCTTTAAAATTGTACGATTTCATTGATAGACTGATACAGCCATGAGCACAGAAGAAATAATTTCTGCATCCTTTTCTTTGAAATAACAGTCTATGCTAGATACTGTTTTGGCAATTAAAATGCTTTAGATTATCAGCCTGACATGTTCTCTTGAACTTTTTATTGAGCATCACCAACAAAGCAACAATTACACTACTACTGCTACTCACATCTGTTGAGTGCTTGGTATGAACCAGAAACCCTGCTAGCCATTTTAAATAATGTTAATTTCCTAGTACCCTTATGAGTTAGGCACTATTGTTATTTCCATTTGAGAGTCAGGGGTACTGGGGCCTAGAGGGGTTGTTAACCTGGCCAAAGTCACATTAATTAGAAAAGCTTGGGAGTCAAGGATCACAAATTTTGTGCTGAATTCTTTCCAGTTCTAAATAGAAGAAGATAAATGGTAAAAATAATAACCTTTAGGGAGATTTAGATCCAGGATGTAACAGGAGAGATTCTGAACCACTGAGATGGGCCAAGAAATTGAAGACATCAGTGTGGAAGTCTCTAAAGTCCATGGGTCGCTGCAGCCTTCTCTTCTGCCCTTTTTATCTCCTCACACTGAATACCCTCACCTGGAAGGCTGAACCCAGATACGCCTCTCTCCCAAATAGAAATCTGATTTCAAAAAACTATAGTGATAAAAATATACATGGACACAACCCTAAATATGTCCACCTGGACTAATATTTATTTCAGGAAATATAACTTGGGAATCCTCATGAATAAATTATAATAGTTCATTTCAAAACCATTCTACAGCAGCACTGTCCAACAGAACATTCTGCAATGATGGAAAGGTTCTATATCTGTTCTGTCCAATATAGTAGCCTCTAGCCACATGTGGCTACTGACCACTTGAAATGCGGCTATGGAGACTCACGAACAATGGAATTTTAAATTTTGCTTAATTAAATTTAAATAGCCACACGTGTGGTTACTGTATTGGGCAATGCAATTCTAGAGAGTAAAGGTTTGATTACAACAGATACAGTATAAAATTCTAAATAGACCTCTTCCTCATATTCCTTTCATCTCTCCCTGGGCAGGGGAGCGAGAAAGGGGATAGAAAGGGAAAGGATGGTCTATTCCAAACGTAAAATCATTTTCCATATTTATCTGCCCCAAATTCAAGCTATATTTTGTTGTCAAAATTTGGGAAGGTTGAAGATTTGGAAGGCCCGTCTGTCCCCTTGCCTGCATGAATGTGTCAGCACCTCATTAATCTTGTGTTAAAGTGTAAAGGCCCTTTTCCCTCCCACTATGGGCTTATTTTTAAAAGACACTTCAGTGCCCTCTTTGCACCTCACAGTTAGATTTTTAAAAATTTACAAGTTGCTCTGTGGATTAATTTCAGTATCTGTTTTATTTAAATATATCCTGATCATTCCCAAATTGGAATGAGAGAAATTATTTGGGGGATAGGGAAGTTAAAATGTATTGTGCCATGAGTTTTTGAGGAACATATTAGGTGTTTATTTTCTAGAAATTAAAGACATGAGGATTCTCTGTATTACCTTTCCCCAAATTTAATTGGTCTTTCAATGAAATGATTCTGTCACACATGTGGTCTCTGTAATCCTCTGCCAAGCAAAAAACACATAGGGTATATATATATGTTTTTTTTCTTAACCGTTTTTGTCATTTTTTTTCAGTGTAGGAATTAGATGACAATGTCTTTAAACTATACAGAATATTTTAAGCCTTAAGCCTCTAGTGCTTTGTCTTACAGGTGCGTGGTGAATTGTCATTGCTTTTTTTTTCTCTTAAGACAGACATCTAGAATAACCACTTTCTGTATTTCCTGACACTGGAAACAGATACCGTTTGGGATTCCTTTTATAGTTTCTTCAGCTAACGACTCCAGTGACCACTCAATTGTGGTCTAGTAGTAAATCAAAATTTCTTTGAAAGACCCAGCTTTGTTATATAATTGTAAATGTCCCACGAAGTCATCTCACCAACTAAAAAGAAAAGTGAGTTTCCTTTGCCTTAAATAATATGGACTCTGCCACTACACACAGTACTTCTGAAAATAAAAGAATAGACCATTCTTATTCCTCCTCCTCCTCCTTTTAAATTCACCTGCAATTGATGAGGCATACACGCAAGCTTCAGAATGTGTCAGATCTGGTTGGTCAATCATGAAGAAAGAGAAAACCACTTTGCAAAGTGCTGCTTCGAACTTACCAGGTCCTCCCACGAACGACCTGCCTTAGCTGGAATTTTGGGTTTCACAATGACTAAGGAGAATACCCTGAGTCCCTGAACGGACTCTCACTTGTTTACTTTACATTTTAATAAAACAGAGTTAAAAAATAAAATCAGAAGAGGGCTCAGGTCCTTCAAGGAGCCAAGGTGAGGACCCTGAGGGAGCCCTGCGGGGACCCCACAGAAGCTCTCCCCTGCATTCATCCAAGGGAGGCCCCAGGGCTGGATGACGATGTGCCTTTGTTTCCTGACTTCTGGATCCGGGGCTGAGAGAGGCAAGGCTTGGTATAGGGAGCGGGTCATCTGGTGGGCAGAGGCGAGGGCCCAGAAGAAAAAAACAAATCCAAAATAATCAAGTCGAATCAAATAAAATCACTTCAACCCCGTGATAGTATCAGCGGCAGTGCGTTTCCAGCTTGCCGTTCTTCTTCATCTTTGAGGCGGTGGAAAGGGAATCCGCCATATTTTGCAGAGATGCGTGTAGGTCAAAGAAGGTGACGGTGGAACTTTTGAGTATGGCCACCATTGCTGGGGGTGAGGGTCTTCGGAGAGGCCCGTTTGCCAGATAGGGCACACAATTTGCAGGCATAGGCCAAGGCCCAGTATTTTCCCCTCTGCCCAACTCTGGTGAGGACACCGTCGCGTTGCCCAAGACGCTAGAAGGCAGTGCCGCTTTCGCCAACTCGGAGAAAAGGCTTCTTCAGAAACTGGGGCCTCAGTATGTGCCAGTCCCTGTAAAGCGTTTCGCCTCTTCAGAGGCTAATGCCTCTCAAAACCAAGAACAATTAAAGCGAGAGTCTTTCCAAGCAACTGGGGAATTGAGCAAAATAAATCAGAAATCCTCAGCCTTGGCTCCGGAGGCTCGCCTCATTATGAGAGCAGATCTATTAGCTCCCTTGCCATTGTCTTTCATTTCTCAAGTGAGGTGATTCTAATTAAATTAATCTGCATGTCAATCTATCGGTGATCAATCAAAGAGCCTGAGGTCCCCCCTATGCTGCGGGGTGCTTGCGGCTGACAGGGGCTGATAATGGAGGAAGAAATAAACTGTCGAGCAAAGTTAATTAGTCAACATAATAGGTGGATTAAACGGGAGCTGGCTGATTGCTGTTTCCCATGTCAAAGCATGAGGTGGGAGCTGAAGCTGCAATTACAGACAATTATTATATTTGGTTGTAAGAGGTCACATGAATAAACATATCTCTGTGGGTTTCGGTTTTAATCCTCTCCCCCATTTAATATAAGGAGAAGTGTAGGTCATTTCTTCTCATTGTTTTAGTCAAAAGTTCTCTGAGAAAACACCTTGCCTGTGTCCCTTCTGGCAAGCTGGGTTCAGAGGAGTCAGTTTATGAGATGGCAGGGTATCTGAATTGTACTTTGGGCCAGTGCCACCATTTCTTTTGGCTTTGAAACACAGACCTAAGACCCTCACTTAGCAGGAATTCTTTTGCTGGGGGAGTGGGGGGCAGGGGTCTCGTGGGTTGGGGATGGTGCCAAGGGGGGCTTTGGTCTCATTTACTGAACTAATGTGGGAAGGAAAAAAGTGCAAGAAACCCCCGAAAGACATCCAGGAGAGAAAGCTGTATCCCGGCTCTCAGTGATTCCTCTTTTTCATTTCTCTATCCTCTTCACCCTGACACAGTGGGGGGGAAATATTTTAAAGATTCAAAAGATTTTTATTTGCATGATCAACTGTGATATCTGCTTCAGTGTCTAAACTGAAGGGTAATTTAGGTGAAATACAACCATCCTTGTGTAAAAAAAATATGCTAATAAAGATCCTCTTGTTAAAATTATGGTTAACAGTGTACCTTCTGCTGTATAACTATAAACTGTGCAATTTTACTTAAAACTGCATCAAAAGCGTTCCATGCCAAAGACCCACTCATCAATAGCTCCTCTTGTTAGACTTGTACAGCATAAGCACCAGTTATTATGTGAAATAGCTATGCAATTTTCTTCAGCTCCCAGCTGTTATTTATTTAACTTGAGTTTATTACCCTCCATGCTTTTATATTAAAATGTTCATTCATTTCTCTCTTCTGTCTCCAGGTCGTGGTGTCTACGACAGTCAATGTGGATGGCCATGTCCTGGCAGTCTCTGATAACATGTTTGTCCATAATAACTCCAAGCATGGGCGGAGGGCTCGGAGGCTTGACCCCTCGGAAGGTACGCCCTCTTATCTGGAACATGGTAGGCGAATCATTTTCATTGGTTGGCATTGCTACTTTAACTGTGAATTTATTTGGTTTCTTTCTTCCAACTCCACCACACTGTCTGCTCTGTTTCAAATTTCAAATGTTCTGTTGAACAATATTGATGCTGAGTATTGAGAGGCAGGAAGATATCTTTGAGGCCCAGCCTTTCTTGTTGCACAACTCTCTACACTGGAAATGGCTGATGTGTATCCTTCCTTCTAGTTGAGAGACAAAGAGAGACCTGGACCCCTGCTTTATTTTAAGCACCCACTTAACTAAAAAATAAAGAGAGGCCAAAGCAGAGTAGCAAAAATCATGGTACATTTTGAGTTTACAATTGACCTTGTTGTATAACGAACTCCATTCTCTTTACGATCCTGCCGATGTATCTCTGTGACTGTATGTTTAACTTAACTGGAGATAAAGTCCAAAGTCTAGGTTGGAGGTGCTTTCTGAATATGAAGCCCAAACTAGATATCCCTCTCTTGCCCTGTGCATACCCCTACCCTTATCACGACATGATAGAGCTTGATTTCTGTAGCTAGACATTGGTGGGGAGAAATCACATTTATCTTGAGAATTATAGTTAAGCAGTGGTGCCTTTGAGAGGACTGGAGGAAACCAGATAAACATTTGAATCAAGGAAAGTGAAAGCCACTCAAAGGAACCATGGGCTAAATTGAGTGTACGTCTGAATGTTTCTATACTACATGTATATGTAATGTGTCCATCCTTCCGTCTGTCCATCCATCCATCCTTCCATCCATCCAAGAAACAGCAACTGAGACTCTACTGGATACCAGTCACCATGCTAGATTTTCTCTAATCTCCTTCAAATTAAACTCTTAACTCATTTCCCCACTTCACTTTCCAGTTTGCTAGGTCAGCAGGATTCTTTTAAAAACACACTACCACACAAATTACCCCCCAATTGCCTGATTTTCCCGTGGGCCATGGGCTGTCCATGATATAATTCATAAGGTAGAAATCTCCCTTTCCTGCCAGCATCCCAATTTAAAAATAAACACACCACTGTCATTATTTTTGCCTGATTTTTTTTCTGCACTTAAGGAACACATAAACTGTACTTTTTATTAATTAGCCAGATGTAACACTCTTAGAAGGGATTCTTCACCACATCCAGTTTTACAGTCTTTTTAAAGTAAACCATCATCTTTCAAAAGCTGCTTCTTTATGGTTTCATTAGTGCTGAGATGAATGGATATTACTTTTTGCAGGAGGCCATTTGAAACACCTGCTCATGATTACATTCCTAGTTCCATTCCTGTACTTAAAATTATTCTGATCCTCACTTTACAGTAATGTTGCCTTTTTAATATCTTTGGAGTCACTTAAGGCATTGTATGACTAGAAGTGTTTAAGTGAAAGGGAGAGGAAAAAATAGGTAAATACTTAGTGGGCACCGTTTAGAGTGCTGGCTTAAAAACTGAAATCTTGTTTTTGACTGTGGCGGCTTAGTTACAGTGGTTACTGTCCTGCCCCGGACAGACCTGACTGTCAGTTTGAAATCTGGCAGTCATGAGTTCACAGCTTCAAAATGTGCTCCAAGCGCAGACTACACCCAGATCCCATTCCTGCCCTTGGGAAGCCAGTGAGAGAGCGCATGGGGCCACACAAATCATCCCCCCACTGAAAAAACCCTGCGCAAACCAGCAAAAAACAGCCTGCTGCAAAGGACACCTCTAGGTCATGGAGGTCAGGAGCGTTACTTTGCAACATGATGCGGGGAGAGAGTCTTCAAATAGGAGCCGGGAAACCTAAATTCAATTCTGAGTTTCACCTCTGGCCTTTGTGTGACCTTGGACAAGTCAATTTACCCTTTGGGATCCTTAGTTTTCTTCTTGGTAAAAAGAAGGTGATGATCTGTAAGGGGTTAAAAAAAAAATGTGTGCCTTGGGTGGCGACAGGTCACGTGCATAGGGGAAGTGGGCTGGGTGGAGACTGCGGAAGAAGGTGCAGGTACATGCTCTGCTGCCCCCAGCCCCAGCTAGTTGTCACCAAGGGGGATGAGAGCCCAGTGGGGCCAGATGTTCCAATTTGGCAAAAGATAAACATCTGCTAATTTTTCATTGTTGGTAACTAATTACAAAATTTTTAAACCCTGATGGGAGGAGGGAAGTCACTTAGAAAGAATACAGCCATAGGCTAACACTTTGAGATTCTGGACCAGAATGTCTCTAAGCTTCCTTCCAGCTCAAATACACTCAGTTCTAGGTGTACATATTAATATTTCAGTTGGGATATCATATTGTTCTAAGTTTTAAAGACAGCATTTTATTCTTCTGCTCCAGTTTACCAGTCCAAAAATGGCCATGCTATTAGTAGTAGATTATTCAAGAAAATGATGACGTTTCTCTATTTATTAATGGTTAACCATCACTGAGGACATGGGTACATGAGTATGTCCTATCTCCTTTGGCTTGGGGACCTTCCTCTCGCCAAAGCCTTACTTCACTTCTCTCCAGAGGAATAAAAGGGTAAACACATTGAAGTTCTTTGTAATGATAGTAACATGGAAATCTGCTTCTCTGCAGAATGAATCAACCAACCACACATAACCACCCACTCATTCAGACACTTCAAGATCATATATAAATATCTACTCAGCAAAGGGTGACTGTTGGGCTCTTTCATGGTGATATGTGGGAGTGATGCTAATTCATGTTGATCATGGGGCTTGGTAATGCTTTATCTTGCCATTGAAAAGTCTTATTAAAAACTGCTCTGTTTAAGACTTCCAGAATCACATCCTCACTCTGCAGCACCTCCACTCTCCCACCCCCACCTCAAACAGCTGCTGCACGTTGAGACTGCCAAGTATTGTCACCTCTTAGGTGACCTGTAGGAGCCTTCGTTTTTCCTCATTCTGGACTTTTTACCATCTCATTTACAGGTAGCCTGAATTATTTTGAGCTGCTCTGCACATCTCTATTTATATCCTGCTTGTCAGACAGTTGGAGGAAAGTTCCCTTTTGGGGCTCATCTTTCTGCATATAAGTAGAAACAGAGACCATGCTTTACATTCATGCAGTCTTCCCTGTGTGACCCACAGACTCTCAAACCTCTGTGCTGGAATAACTGTGCCTGTATTTCAAGTAGGAGAGTTGACAAAGGCAAATTTATTTCAGAGAATCTTGCATGGTCCAAAGAGGGTGAATCCTGGCACGCTGTAGCTCATGGTAATTGCTCTCCCCACTATTTTTTTCTTCATTCATAAATACTGAGATTTTCTTTGGCTGGATATTTATGGCAGAGTTTAGGCTAGTGAGGTTTCCTCTCTAAGCAATAGCTTTATGGAAGATGTACAGTTGTGGAGAGACGCCACCTTAGAAGGTAACTTACTCTCAGGGTTCCGATTTTTGGAAAAGCATAGGCTTGGGGCCAAAGATGCTGAATTGTTGCCAGCCAGGGTAACGCACAACCCTGGTTTGCGTGCCCACCCTGCCTTCCCATCACTTTGGCAAATTCCTGGGGACTGTGTGCTGGAGATCTTGAAAGGACTCTGGGAGTGTTGATGTTGTCCTTGTTCTCCTGAGGTTCAGGTTGTGTTTACTTGAATTTAAGGCCAGTTGAGGCATCTGTTTCTCTGTTTTTTCCCCCCTGTGGCAAAATGCGGTGCCCTCACAAAGCTATGGTGCAGGGACCCTGTCAGCTTGCATGAGCTGACACTTTATTATCTAATGATCTAATATGCAACAAGGCAAAGTGCCGGTGCGCATCATTCTGACACAGAATGCCGGGAGAAGTGACTAAATTACTTTATGTACCATTAGCGCGAGCAGCTATGGTGAACTCACCGGCAGCATTTATGCAAATGCCTGTAGAGACACTCTAGTGGCTTTGTCAGGAAGCCGTCTGACAAGCAGTTTAAATGCTCATTTTTTTTAGGGGACATTTTCTTTTTTTTAAATTTTGGCATGTGTGTGTTTTTCTCCCTTCCTCCCTCTCTCTCCCCTTTTTGGACTGTTGGAGTACTTGCCTCCTCCATGATCACTGGGAAATCTGAGTAGGTCAGAGAACTCAGTCAGCCGTCAGTAGATGCCCTTTCCAGGAGTGGGGTTACGGCCTCATTCTGGTGTTTTCCAGATTTAGGGTTCTTTAAAAATTGTTATGAATTTGTCCAACCTTCATATTTATTTGAAAAATCAGTAGAACTACTAATCAAGAGTTTTTAGAAGATGAATATTTTAATGTTCATGAGTTCTGACTTGAGGTCCTACTTAGTTTCTTGGCTCAAATATAGATGTTTTAAACACCCTCGCTTTTTAAAAATGGAAAATGATTGAAATTTAGCTTTTGTGGGCATCAGATGTGAATGAATTGAATTTCCCTTCAAAGTAATTATAAAGATAGAGACGTGAAGTGTAAACGTGTTAGGATCCCAAAATAAAACAAATAAAAATGACAGTGGGGTTTGGTCAAACTAAAAATACTTCGTAGAATAAAGAGTGCTGATAGAATCACTGGGCCCATCTCCTTGCTGTAATTACAGTGTTAGAGAAAGAGAATCAGATTTTCACCACCACCAGTTAGCTCTGACCTTTCCCTTGTCGTGTCCCCTTCCAGCTGTCCCTGACAATATGGTGTTATTCTTGCTCTTTAGCATTTGACCTTCTTTAATCCTTTTGCTCCAGACGAAAGCAGTTTTTGCTTCTGTTGGTCGCCCCTGGGCATCCAGCAGCCCCATTGACTCCCTGTGCCCAGCTGCACTTAAATTTGTTGTTTTAAGGACATGTGGAGAGAGATGGTTCAGGCTTGGGGAGATTACTTCAAATTGAGAGACAGCGTGGAGCTTCCAGTAGAAAGAAGAGGCCCCCACCTCTCCCCTCTGTGTAATGAGGCCCTAAGAAGTGGCTAGTAAACATCAGTTGGATCTAATAGAAGGAGGATCGGACTGTCTGACTGGAGAGCTGGATTCGGTCCCGACTCTGCCATTAACTAGCTGTGTGACTCTGGGAAGGTCACTTTGCTTCT